TGATATTGGTTGAAAGTTGTTTTGAGTTCCATATGTTCTTCAATTGTAGGAATGCGCCCCTTGCTTTGCCAATCCTCGACTTTACGTCTGCAGTTGATCCTCCTTGTTCATTGACGATGCTTCCCAAGTATGTGAAGGATTCTACATCTTCCAAAGTCTCGCCATCAAGAGTGATTGGATTGCTGTTCCGCGTGTTGTATTTAAGGACCTTGGTCTTCCCCTTGTGTATACTGAGGCCTATTGATGCAGAGACTGCTGCTACACTGTCTGTCTTTATCTGCATTTGTTCATGTGTGTGGGATAGGAGCGCTAGGTCATCTGTGAAGTCCAAATCGTCTAATTGGTTCTCAGATGTCGTTTGTATGCCGTGTTTTTCCTCAGATGTCGAGGTCTTCATAATCCAGTTGACCACCAGAAGAAGGAGAAGACAGAGGATAGATAGCCTTGTCTGACTCCAGTCCTTACTTGGAATGCATCTATCACCTGTCCTCCATTCACTACTTTGCACTGTTTGAAGATATTTCTTTTTGTACACATAGCTCAGATTTCTTCATCCGGATGACTACCGCTTTAGCCGTTTGAACGGCTTTAAGTCTGACAAGCTTTGCAAAATCGACTGACCCGATAAATAATTGAAAAGGATTAGTTTATACTGACACTCTGACCAGTTTGCATTAAATGGGCCAATACTGAGATGTTTACTTTCTTCACTAAACCTTTACTTAGCCGTTCGCGAGCACGAAAATGTAAATTCCTAGAGCTTCTGCCAATATAACTTGCTCTATAGGAACAGTTGAACTGATAAATACAAAATGAGGTGATCATTCTAGGTAATTCATCTTTTAGCCTCGTTGTCACATTAGGCGCGTAGAAAACACTAATCGTCGTTCTCTGAGTTAATATTTCACCAGCCTCATCCGCTCTGAATTGTAGGTACATGGACATAGATTTCTTAATCACCGTCTGTATTTCGCCTATTCTCACCTTCGTAATCATATATTTAATTATAAACTTACCATGGTAACCATTTTTTCTAAGAGTATTAAGCAAGGTGTTTAACTCATCTTCATTCTATTATATACGCTGAATAGTTGTAATGTCTAAACACTAAAATAAATTGAAAAAAAGACTGATTTTCAAAAAGTGAAGAGACTAATTAAAGTTTTTCGCCTTAGAAACAACATAAGGAGATATTTTCGTATATAAAGTATTATACATAAAAATTTGTGTGAATTTTGATTAAAAAAAAGAAAATAGCAAGGTAAAGAGGGATACTATAGAATAATTAATGTACTAGAGGGACTTGTGAAATGTTCAAATCAATGACAATAGAAGAGAGAGAAGGAGAGAAAAAACTACAAAGTTTCGAGAATAGATTGGAACTTTCAGACATGGATCATTTATTCCTTGATAATGTTGAACTTCATTCGAACCATAGTCTACAATCTAATCAACAAGTCTGCTATCATTTGAATGAACTGATATCCAAGTTTTTATCTTTTCGTCAGTTAAGATATGATTCTGGATGCTCAATTCCTTTCAATAAATTCATGAGTCTAGTCTCGAAAAAAAGAAAAAGCTAATCGGTCGTAATTGTTTATTACTTACAAAAAATACACATTTATAATTACAAACTTATCATTTGTATATTCGAGGTTTCCCTAATTTGGATAATATCTCTACATAACAATTGATTTCTTTAGAAAAACAACTGGCAACGAGTTCATGTTCCTTCCTGTGTTAACAGATATAAGTAGTATGTTACACTAATCAGAAGTGAAATGTTTATCAGAAAAAGATTGAGAAGATCGAATTGAAGAGAATGGTAATGTAAACAATGAGTAATTCTAATAATAACAGGAATAAAGGAATGATGAAGTTTGTAAGAGATACTTGATATTATCCATAAATTGTTCTCATTCACTACAGAAATACACTTGCAACTGTTAAAAATGTGAACTCTTCGTTAAGAGCATTTATTTTGTGATGTTAAATAGATAATCAAATTTCATAAAACCTAAACGGAAAGATAAGATTTAAGGTTATTTGTCGGTAATCAAAGTAGGCTACGAGCTCCCAACAAGCCTTGGAAACTCTGTCATTATCAAAACTCTTACAAAACAGTTTATATTTACCTTGAAAGTAAAAATATACTCGTCAAATGAAGTTTATATTTAGTTACTCTTGCATTGGACTCATTTGTATTAATTACTTTGCAAGTACTTATTGATGACTCTAAATATCAATATACTTGAGTGCAGATCAACAAATCATCCACATATATTCCTTATTTTAAATCGATATTACCATTATGTCCCGAAAAGTATAATGAATGGTAACTCTTAGGATCCATTTATGGACCATTACTATGCGTATATTTTATCGTATAATTGTTGAATAACTAAACTATACATATTCATGTCCCTCTTATTATGAGTATTATTTTGATCTATGAAATATTATTATACGACTTATCATTCTTGAATTATGCTCTGTCTATTAATTACTACCTCCCTCATTCACAGCCTTATATGGCTAATACTTGTACAAAAGTTGTTTTGTATTTTATGGTACGATGTGGTCTGTCTGGTTGGTATATTAACTTAGTATGTTTGAAATAAATGACTCCTATTGCAGAGGCTGAGATTGGTGTTCTGGACTCAACTGGCTGGTCTAGGCAGTAAGCATGACCGATAAGTACTCTAGACTGCTCGCTCGGTTTCAGGCGTCATTGGTCCGTTAGATAACTCACTGCTCTCTTACTGGCGGTGTCATTACATATACATTAACAGGGCACACAGGCTACAAGTTTTAACAATTACAAACATCTAGTTCAACAGCAAAATCTTGAATTTGTAGATCATTGAGTCGAAATTAATCACTTCACAACGATGATCTCACTGAGATCGTAGTATCGTTTAGTGTTGTCATTGCACACAATTGAAGAATTCTAAACTAGTGCTTTTTATTATGTACGATTTTTAGCGTTTACGTAACTGATTTCGTCCTGTAACATGATTTAAAACCTCTGATTCTATTAGGACTTTTAAGGTTTAAAATACGACTTGACTGAAATAGATAATTCTCCGTGTTAAAGGCAAATGTATAGTAGGTTATTTTGGTGCTGATCGGTGACCTGCTTGAATATTTGGGCTATCTATACCTGTCATCTAGATATTTCAACAAGTCATCTGTTTTTTGTTTGTTTTAACACATCACTATGTCTATTAATTGTATAACCTTTTCAGGAGCGCTTATAACCTGTTTATAACCTTTCGCTGTACAAATTACAAGAAAGTACAATCAGAGATATCATGGTGGCTGATAATATTCATTGAAAAGAATGAACATTATTCAGATGTTTATTTATTAACCGCCAACATCTAACTGGCGATCACTCAATATTTGTTGTCAGAATCGATCAAGAAATAAGAAACGTAAACTTGTTGACATGATTTGTGCTGAGAATTCTATATTTTACCAAAAATATGATATTAACTAAAGCCATTAATAGTAACTAATAACTTATAAATGATTTTAAACCTAGTCAGGAAACTGTATTCTTATTATTGATTATTAATGGTGGCTTTATTCAATATGTTAATAACAATATAGAATTCTTAGCACAATATTATTGCTTATTTATAGATAAAACCTCATTGAAATCATAAACCGACCAATTTAAAAATCATTGAAAACTTAAGAGAATCAAACTGTTGCTTCACAACTGTGCGCACTCATGACCTTGCGACTAAGATCCGGCCCAGTGGGTTAGAGAGTAAGCGTTTGAGCACAAGAACGAAGTCCTGGATTCGATTTTCGGTTACAGGATCATGTGTATACACTGTTGCATAATCCCATACACAGCGCCACAACTGGAGATCGAATCCAGAACTGTCGTTTTCGCATGCTAACACTTAACCTCTAGACCACTGACTGAGGTCCATTAATGTACAAGTCTAAATTCAATGAAATTCGACATTTTCTACAACCCTATATGAACAGATATACAATCACCAATCATAAAAAACAGTTGTAAAACTAGAGTTACATATCATTAAAAGCTCAAAAGCATCGATGCACGACTATCATAAATTCATTCTATTTACAGTGTATCAGCTAAATACAGTTAAACACTAATAGAGAAGCAGCACACTTCTTGAATTTCAAATTAATAACAACGATAGATACCTAAAATATGCATTAAAAGTGTAAACCATGCAAAAATGTAAACCATGTAAGTAAAGTTAATTCATTTGTATTGTTTATTGAATCTTCTCATTGATGTTTAGGACTGCAATCTATCAGTCTCTTATCGGCACATACATTATATGAATAGATGGATGTGGATAGCAGCGGAATCCAGGACGCTAGTTTTGTCTCATTTGGAACTCTTCAGCTAGATGTATCTGCATCCGGCGTGAACATCAACTCCAAGATGCAGGTACATCCAGCTGGCGAGCCCCAAATAGGACGAAACGCACATCCTGGATTCCAATGCTAGCCACCATCTATCTTTGCTTATGTAAGTAGCGGTTCAATACAAGGACATGAACACGAAAACAATTCAACTATTATAGTGTGAGAATGGGTTTTGTGGAGAT